GGAGGGAGCTGCCGCCGCCCCGGCGCAACTCATCTCCCGGCTCACAAAGCAGACGCTGTTTAGCTCTGCGGGTCAATTGTCCTCTTGGCGCGGAATGATGATGTAAGCAGACGTAAAGAATAACGCAACTCGCCCTGGTACCAGTGGAAGCGCCCCGGGTCCACGCTTTCACGTGATTGGCTGAGAGCTGCAAATGGACCCTGTCTATTGGATGCGGTCCCTATCAATCACTCAGAAGCAACCTTGGGTTGCTATGGCGATAAGAATGCTAAATTGCTCTTAAGAAAGGTCTGGACAGGCTCAAGGTTTCTCATCGAAGTTCCCGGGAAAGACGACCAGGAGGGTTATTGAGAGAGCTGTTGTACCTTTTGCTTTACCTCCGTGGAAGATTTTTCTGTTTCCTACTTCCTCTTAAAAACTAGAAATTAGTGGGATGCAGTGGCGCACCCCGGTAATCCCAGTGGGGCCGAGGCAGGAAGATCCCAGTTTCGAGGCCAGACTGAGCAATTATTAGCGAGGCCCACAGCAACTTAGCAAGACTGTCCCAAAATAAATAGCTCAGTGGTAAAGCGCCCCTGGGTTCAATGCCCAGTACCAAAACAAAACGGAAAACCAAAAACACACACAGTAGAAATTACACAGTGAAACTCAGGTCGCCACGGGGTCAATAGTGTTGCCATCAGTAGGCCCGACAGCCCACTTTAACTTTCTTCCCAGTCCTCAATTTTCAGATTTCCTACAGAATATATATTGTACTTTGTACCCACTTTATTGCTGTGCCTTTATACTGTTGCAACTTTTTTTTTTCAAGAGGAAAAAATTGCAACATGTTCTCTTTTTAATTGTAAGTGCCTTTATTTATTTATTTTAGAGAGAAATAATTTTTTAATATCTACTTTTCAGTTTTCGGTGGACACAACATCTTTATTTTATTTTTATGTGGTGCTGAGGATCAACCCAGCTACCTGCGCTTGCCAGGCGAGCACATTACCGCTTGAGCCACATCCCCAGCCCCCTTTATTTTTATGTGGTTCTGACGGTTGAACCGAGTCTAGGTGAATGCTCTACCTCTGAGCCACACCCCAGCCCTGCAACATGTATTTCTGAAAGCATATATCCACTAAGATGACAGTCCTACTTGTAGGGGATCTATCCAACCAATATAACTTTTCAAATGAGTGATGTATTATATAAGGACAGAAGAAGAATCAAAGATGCACATCTGAAAGAATGTAAAATAAAACGTTTGATATTTGTTAACATCAGAAGGTTGAGACTTTCAGAAGGGGAACTTTGATTTTGCACCCTTGGATTTTTTATATAGTTTTCCTAAGTTTACTATAAAAGATTTTAAGATGAACTGATCTTATAAAATTGAATTTAGATTGCTAGTTGTCTACAATGTTCAAATTAATACACTATATATACTAATTCAAAATTATGATGAATCTTAAGTTCTTAATAATGATGTAATGTAACAGTCTCACATAAAGCTACTGAAAGTATAAATTTGGCTCCCAAATGCCTCAGCATGTTCAAAAGCTTTGCTAAAAGTCTCTAGGTCTCTGTTCTTAAGGAGAAAAAGTGTTGACAAACATGTATGATGTTCCAGTCATTTATTATTGGGATAATTTGGAAATAAAATATTAAGCGCTAAGGGAATGTTAAAACTGAATCATCTGAATGCTGTTATATTATGTAGCCTACTGAAATGTTGATAATGAACTTTTGATAACACAACTCTTTAGTGAAAAAGAAGTGAGAATACTAAAATTTTCTTTCTTTCCTTATTTCCGGGTTTTCTTCTCTTCATAACTTTCTATACTAAAAGCAATTTTGCCAAGATTAACAGTGGGTGTCCACACATGATACTCAGGAATAATTTTAAATTTTCTCTGTAGTTTCCATTTTTTAAGTGTCAAAACAAAATTAAAAAAACATGACTCCCTAATTCAATTATTAAATCTAAAAGCAATTTTTGTATTGTTTTTCTATTTTAAAAATAAGGGAGGGCTGGGTTGTGGATCAGTGGTAGAGTGTTCGCCCAAAACATGTGAGGCACTGGGTTCGATCCTCAGCACCACATAAAAATAAGCAAATAAAATAAAGGTATTGTGTCCATCTACTACTAAAAAGAATATTAAAAAAATAAGGGTACTTTATTGCAGAAAAGACAATTGTACAAAATCACAGGCTGAAGCCAGATGCAAAGCTATCCCGTGCCCCAAGCACATTGCATACATTAGACACAAAATACACAAAGTAGAACTAACTAAGTAAAGTCACACACTACATAAAGGAGATAGGCTCAGAAGTTCTCATTTCTTAAGAATTGGACCTTGTATTGCTACCCTGGCGACATTAATTCCTTCTTCTCCAATACTTAACACAAGTGGGTAGCAGCAATGTGATGTGTAGCTGCAGGAATTCACTTTGCCAACTGAAGAGTTGATGCAAACTAAAGACTTGCCTAACTGGATTCTTTTCTTTGCCAGGATAAGAACATTTTATGATTGCAAGAACCTGCAAGTTGGCCTTACGAAAAACAACAGAATGGGGCAACACAGAAATGTTTGCAGGAGCTTTAAAAATTCTAGCTCCCCGTGTTTTTCAAAGGATGGGGGGAGGCAGAAACAATCCAGACATCCATTAATGGTTGCATAGTCAAATATCCACGGGTGCAGTGGAATGCTACACAGTCATAAAAAAGAATGAGGCCACTGCTTACATGGAAAGGTCTTCAAGATGTTATTAAGGAGAAAAAAGAAGTTTGGAAATCCGTATTTCACAACATACGCTCACATGTATATGCCTGCATGAATGTATCAATTTTCTGGAAGAATAAAAATGAATATTATCAGTGGTTTTCTCTGGAAGTGGGATGAGGAATGCCTGAAATAATTTTATGTGTTATAAGTTTAAAAAGCACAAGTACACTTCTAGGCTTCAACAGAGCCAAGGAGTCTTAAAAGCATTCCTCTGATGGTTTCATTAAACAGTTCTTTCATCTAATTTTCAGAAAAGGCCAAGAGCAACAACAGACTTGTTTTTCGTGATCACTTGATTGCCAATGAGAAGCCTCCGTGGGTTCGAATATATACAATTACATCTTAAAACCTTAAAGATGCTGTTTAATCAGTAGTTTTAATGCACATGTGTTAGACAGCCGTACTTTAAAAATTATACAGACATCACTTGAAATTATTAAACTTATCAAAACATATCAAAACATTCAAGTAAGAGGTATGCAAATTAGCAGCATTTTAACTAAAACTACTGTTATTTGTTTCAGTATCAGTTTTAAAATGGAATGAAAACAGCAATATATTTTCATTTTATTCATCTCATACACACACACACACACACACACACACACACACACACACACACGACTCTCTTTAGAAGCCTGGTACAGGCAGAGACATAATACATACAGAGGCACAGAGGCACTATGCAGAAATGCTTACAATTAAAACTTGTTTTTTCAGAAATGCTAGAATGAACTTTCGGTTTCTCAAAATGCCATGACGCCAGTTACATTCAGAAACTCATGAACTGTAACAAAACTTGAAAAACTCATCAGTCCAACAGGAACATAAATACTCCTGTTAATACGACCTTTGTGGAAGAAGAAGGTTGAGTATTGGAGCTGGGGTTGTAGCTCGGTAAGAGTGTGTGCTTAGCATGTGTGAGGACCTGGGTTTGATCCCCATCCCCAAAAAAGAAAGAAAAAAAAAAGATTGCAACAAAGGAACACGAGTATAGAAATCTATAAGCTCCGACAGCTTGCTTTCCCCCTCAGAGCAAGGAGCTAATCAGTTTTGAGTACTGGGATGATGTTGGGGGTAGGAGGGAATTATTCTTAGAAGCAGCTTTCCAAAACCTGTATCCAACTTTAAATTCCAGGAAAGGTTTGGAACCAGAGAAAGGAAGAAAAACAATGGCAGGAAGAAAACGGTCTATTACAAAATTACAGTACTTTAAGAAAAGATTTTGAGACATGCAAATGAAAACAGGTTATATTAAGCAATAACTTAGGCCTTCCACTAAAAGGTCCAGGGTTATCAATTTCAGGTACGTTTACAATGAGGTATTTATTGCATATGGTCTTCCCCGTAACAGAAATTACTGTTACCCTAACGGAAATCTTAAGAGAGAGTCTGCTCGGGTCATGCTTTGCAAAATAAAGGCCTACGCATTTAAAAATGTTCAGCACAGGAAAGCAAACCATAGCTCTTGAAAATGTGGAAATGTGTACTTAAGAAACCAGGGCTGGCTGATGCAGTCTGGTTTGGGATATTTTCTCTGGTCTGTTGAACTGGCTGGGTTGTGTGATCTCCACCCTGGAACACTCAGGCATGTACCTCTCAGCTGCAATTACTCAACAGYTCTTTCCAGCCTGGCTCAGGAATGTGAAGTGTCCTTTAGAAATGGGGAACTGGGGGCAAGAAGGGCAATGGAACTCTGAGATGAACAAGCCCCCTATTTTGGATGGTACAGGTTCCTCTTGCCAAATCTCAGAACGYAGGACCAGATGGAAACTGAGGCTTGTGGAGGAGAGTCGGCTGAAGGAGGTTTTCCCCTGAGTGATAACTTAAGGCTGCAGGAAATACCCAGAGAGCTCAGAAAACAMGGCCACAAGGCCCCTCCTGGAGAGGACTGATGGGGACACTTGAGGGACTGCTTACTCACGTATTCACAAAGCAGGGACCCACTTTTCCTCCCTTCTGCTACCAGGTAGCAGGTCCTGACGATCCTCTCCCTGTTCTCACCACCTGTTCTAAACATCAGGATTCAAGGATTTCTCTTCAGACCGTTCAAGAGGGACACTACATTTAAGGAGCCCTCTTGAGTTTCTAGACATGGGTTCCAAGGAAACCCAGTTCCAGAAATGGATGACCTCTGGTTAACTTCTAAAGACAAACAACAAAGCTTTTTAAAAAGAATGTCTCTCCCATTCGGATTCTGTGGTCAAGGCTTAAATGGCATAAGAGGTTCGTGTCTCAGGTAGGGTCCTCACTGAGCTGCAGGTCCACAGGCGAAGACCTGGCRCTGGACCTGCTTTTACCACGTCACCCAAAGCCCTCATGAGAGGCTGGGTTCTGTAACCAGGCCACCGCAGCTGCACAGAGTCCCGTCAGGAAAAGCCTCAATTCCAGAAAAATATATTTTGCAATTTCTGCTCAAAACCCAGGCGGGCTTTGTGGGTGCGACAGTCACCAGCGGAGCAGCACGCGGCGCGGCGTCTTCAGGCTCAGCCTAATGGCTCCGCACATCCTTCTGGGCTTCGGTTAGCTTCTGGATCAGATAGCGCTTATCCCGGCTCTCCTAAAACCAGAAACGGGTTTGAAAGTGACATTTCATGTAGTTGAAAGCCAAGATGCTTTCTACCTGCTGGATCACCTCTCAGATTCAGGGCCAAGGATCCCAACCACGGGGCTACTACAGTGGCTTCCCATCCAGTCTCTTTTCTGCACGTCCCTCACCACCGTCCTGTGTTCACCCAGCAGCCGGTGAGTTTCCAAAGACGCTCACCTGACTTCTCCTTCACTCTCTGCAATGGCTTCTCACCACCACACTCAGAACAAACCCAACCTTCCTGCCAGGTCCCCCAGGCTACGCTAGGACTCTGGCGGACGTCCCAGGACCCTCTTGCTTCTCCCCATCATTTAGCACCCTCTGGCCACACACCCTTCTCCTGTGCCCCAGAAGCGCCTGGCTCCTTCCCTCGCTGGGGTCCCCACATCCTACTCTCTTCCCTAATGAGGACTCCCCCAATAATTGGCTCTGTCCGTCATTCAAGCCTCAGCTCCAGTGTCACCTCCTGTTGTGGTTTGGATATGAGGTGTCCCCCAAAAGCTCACGTGTGAGACCGTGCAAGAAGGTTCAGAGGAGAAATGACTGGGTTGTGAGAGTCTTAACCAATTAATTCAATCAGTGAATTAATCCCCTGATAGGGATCAACTGAGTGGTAACCGAGGTGATGGGTGTGGCTGGAGGAGGTGAGAATTGGGGACAGCTTTGGGGTGTCTATTTGTATCTGGCAAGTAGAGATCTCTCTCTGTCTCTCTCTCTCTCTCTCTCTCCTTCCTGATCACCATGTGAGCTGCTTCCTTCTGCCACACCCTTCCACCATGATGGCCTGCCTCACCTTAAGTCCCAAGGAATGGAGCCTGCCTCTTATAGACTGAAACTTCTGGAACCATGAGCCATGAGCCCCCCTGGAAACCTCCCTGCTCTGTAATTGTTCTGGCTGGATCTTTTCGTCACAGCAGTGAAAAAGCTGACTACGCCTCCTTAAGTCCGCCTTCGGCTATAGCAGCTTCTCGCAGGCGGGGTTTGGGGACAGTGGTGGAGAGCGGGAGCCACAGCAGGTCCACTCCCTCCCTGGGAGCAGTGCGACTTTCCACACCAGGTCCTGGTTCAGTGCCACCAGCATGGCCCCCGGGGCCTGAGCTTCCTCACCAGGGACAGCTGCTCTCGGAGCTGGACCACCACCCGTTTGTGCGCTCCGGCCAGGGCGATGAAGTAGAACATGACGAGGCTGCAAGGCAAGGTGACAGGTCGGTCAGGGGACGCCCGCCCCTTCTTTTCTTTTGCTTCCCAGTCATCACGAGGTCTACTGACTTCCTCTGTCCCATGCTTCGGGCCTGATGTACTGTGCCACCGCAGGCCCAAAGCAACAGGGCCAAGTCACCATGGACTGAAACCATGAGATAAAATGAACCTTTCCTCCTTTTTAAGTTGATTACCTCAGGCATTTTGTCCCAGGCATGGAGAGCTGACTCACACACCCTCCATTTCCCAGTGGGGGAGCCAGGCGCTTCAGTGGGAGAGAACTCTCCAGGGTCGGGGCGGTTCTCACTCACCAGATGATCATGAAGAAAGGCACCGCGAAGGCTTCCGACGTGATGCCATGGACCAGGGACTGCAGCGAGCTGGGGAAGGTGCTCACCGTCCGCGGGACRACATCCCACGTGGTGTTGAAGCTGGTGAACGGCCCACAGGCTTTGGAGGAAGGGATGCTGCAGAACACGAGCCAGAGGGCTCAGGGCCAGGCTTGCAGCACAGGCYGCGTCCCACTGCCGGACACCCAGAATGTCTTGTAAACCAAGGCCTCAGAGGAAGTGCCTCACCCCTAGGCCTTCTGGAATATTCTGGTCAAAAGTGCTTACTATCAAATTTTCATCAAGTTTCTAGGTCTCATTGCTAGTTTAAAGAATGTTCAAGAAAGAAGAACAAGTGAAATGTCTTGTAGGAAAATAACCAGACAAGTCCAGAATGTGGGGAGATTCCACTCTCCAACCTATAACTTGACTCTGATGAAATTGGTCTTAACTATTCAAAGACTAAGTTAAAGCAGACATAACAACTGAAAACAATGTGCGAAACTTGAAAGATCAGTATTTTAAAAGCAAATTTTTTTTGGTGGGGGTTATTGGGAATTGAACTCAGGGGCACTCGAACACTGAGCCCCATCCCCAGCCCTATCTTGTATTTTATTTAGAGACAGGGTCTCACTGAGTTGCTTAGCACCTTGCTTTTGCTGAGGCTGGCTTTGAACTTGTGATCCTCCTGCCTCAGCCTCCAAGTTCCTGGGATTACAGGCATGCACCACCATACGTACCCAGCAGTATTTTTAAAATAAAGCCAGAAAAGATAATTTTGGAACAGTTTGAAAAATTTGAAAATGGCAGGAATATTAGTATTAAGTTAATTAAGTGTAATAATGTTACTGGGTGTACACATAAAGGAAAATGTCCTTGTTCTTGGGGGCTCACMTGCTGAAGCTTTTAGTGGTGAGATAGCATGGTGCTCATAACTTCACTTCAAATCATACATCATTAAAAAACAAAAATTATGTAGGGAAAAAAATACAGCAAAATGTTAACTGGGACAGTCCATTGAAAAGAATATGCATTTCCCTGTTGCTATTTTTTTCAGCTTTTCCATAGATTTGACAGTTTTCAAAACAAAAAGCGGAGAAAAGAAATGTCAAATGCACTCTACACTCATGTCTATCTAAAAAGAACAAATTTTTAAAATTACAATGGGAAAACAGTCAAATGAAGACCTGAAAGAAAGGCCCACATTTATATCACAGAGGGTATATGTAAAATTGTTCATTGCTGCCCTGTTTTTTTTTTTTTTAACTTTTTATTTATTTATGCGGTGCTGAGGATTGAACCCAGGCCTCATGTATGCAAGGCAAGCRCTCTACCACTGAGCTACAGCCCCAATCCCTGCTGCCCTGTTTTTATGGGTAAAAATAATATGCCTGGAAACAATCCAACTGCCATTTAAGAAAGTGGATGAACAACTTGTGGTCCATTCATAGGGCTGGATACTAGAGAATCACTGAGAAAGAGAGAGAGAGAGAGAGAGAGAGAGAGAGAGAGAGGAGGCGATTTCACAGAGGGACGATTGTTTCCCAGGGAAACGAATCAGCTTGGAAACAGAGTTAGAAAATGAATCCCACCATCGATTCTTTTGCGCTTCTTAAATACTGTACCGTGTGAATGCATTTATCATAAAAAAAAAAAATCAAAGCTAAAATCTTATTTAAAAAAAATAAGYGGCAATTTTTCTCTCCAAGTGGTATCTTCTGCACTGTTTAAATGTTTTAATATAACATGACTGTCGTGCAAAAATTAAGGCAAATATAGAATTAAACTGCCAAAAACTTCTTTAAAAATCTGAGGGCAGGACCCAAAGCTTTATAGTCTTTTAATTTAAAGAGATGAAACAGAATTCCGAGAGCACTGAAGGCAGGGATTGGCAAACTATAGCCCATGGGCCAAATCTGGCCCCCCACCTGTTTTTTTTTGTTTGTTTGTGTGTTTTTATAAATAAAGCTTTATTGGAACCCAGGCGTTCCTGTTTGTTTATATAGGATCCATGATCCAGCAGAGTAGTTGCTGAGACCACACGGTCTGAAAAACCTGGATTGTTTACTCCCTGGCCCTTTCTAGAAATCTGCTGGCTTCTGGTGTAGGCGGTCCCCACACACAGAGCCACATCACCGAGGTTCCAACTCTCAGCTTCGGATCCTGAGTCCAGAGCATTTCTCTCTTCCCCAGTTCCACACTAGATTCTCCTCTGCCTGCGTCCTTAAGGTCTTCGTAGCCGCGCATCCAGCTCAACACCTGGCGTGCAGGAGTGGGACCCCTCCCTCAACCAGCCTGGCAGGAGGGGAGGGGAGCACCTTACTGCTCCTCTCTGCCTCTCCCGACCCGCCAGGTCTTCTCAGTGACCACACATGACTCTGATAATCAGAAACAAATGATCCAAAAGGGGACCAGAAGAGAGGYCCTTGGGAAAGGGTAGGAAAGACCCAACTGGCTTTCACAAAATGATGCCCATGCTCTATGCCAAGTTCCAGAATTGGACCAAGACCCTCCAGGGCCCAGAGGGAGGTTCTGAGAGGAGGCGGGTCCCTGGAGAAGCCAAGAAGGGGGCTCACTGACCTCTGCAGGTGGACACCGTGAGAAGAGCCAACAAAGAAAGCAGGGGACCCTTGAACACGTACGACAAAGCCAGGGAAGGTTCTAGAAAACCAAGTCACACTTACCGGGACACGCTGATCGTCAGAGGTATTATCGCCAAACACAGCCCAATCAACAACACCAACAGGAAGAAGAAATTGGAATTGGACGCTCTGAATTGCCGTGGGGAGGGTCTGCAGGTATAAAGAAGACTCAACTAAGGGGAAAAAAGGAAAGAAAAAGTTAAGGCGCAATCAGCACCCGCGAGAGTCAGTGAGYACATTACGCATTACGGTGGGCATGAAATTAGTCTCCTCTTTCTAGAAGAGATTTTTGCGATATAAATCTTAAAGCAAAATGTTTCATCCAGACTCCAGCCTTAGGAATCTCATGCTGATGAAATAGGAAAAATGGGCCAAACACCCGTATGTGGAAGCTGACTGCTGTCGTTGATTACGGAGAACAACTGGAAGCATCCTGAATATCTATCAGTGGGTATTCTCCATACAGCGAAATACCATACAGTCCTTAAAAAGGGTGAGAGAACATTACATTACTCATGAGGCGCTATGAAATAAAAATGGCAGACTTCAGAACTTTACATGGTATGGACTCATTTAGGCTTTTAAAGGATTCATCCTTTATAGGAATTTAAGTTTGTATAAATGGGTCTCTAATAATAGCTACCAAATTAAGAATTATTTTGCTTAAAATTTTTTTTCATGCACATATAATTTTCMTCATATTAAAAGTGAATATTTTGGGGCTAGGGATGTAGCACATTGGTAGAGCATTTGCCTAGCGTGTAYAAGGCCCTGGGTTCCATCCCCGACACTGGTGGGGAGAAGGGAATGGTCCAGGGTGTGAGCCCCCTACTCTCACCTCCCCTTACCTCTTTCACGTAAAAGATAATAATGAATTTCAAGGTTGCAATTGCAGGAAGAAGGGGTGAGAAAAAGGCTCCGATCCAGCAAATGGTCTGCCCGTACACGATCCCCAGGACATTATCGGGAATGGCAAATTCCTGCTGTCCCCAGCACCGAATCAGCTTCCAAGAGGAGCAGTGGGTCACCAGGAGCCTGGAAACAAACCAGAGAATTTGTGCTGAGCCTCTGCACAAAAGGACCCTCCCCACTAGCAACGCCACTCCTCAGGACCCTGGAGGCTGCTTATAGAGACCACAGGCCCAAGGACCTGAGATCAACACACACAGCTGCTCCCTGCGCCACGGCTGTGCATTAGCGAAAGTACCAGAAACAACCAATGCCCACCAGTAGGAGCTGGGTTTAYAAATGAGAAGCCATGGACGCCGTGAAATGGACATTCTCTAAAATGGATGAGAGACTCCACATGATTGACAGGGAATGTGGTTCATGATATTTTGTTTGTATGAGGGCTGGGAGGTGGGGAGSAAGATGCAGGCCAACGTGAGTGACACGGGATTCCCTTTGGGAAGGAGGGAAAAATATTTCTTCCAATAAGACTATGGTCTAAGCTGGGGACGTAGGTCCGTGGGGGCCATGTGCCTAGCATGCACAGGTCCTGGGTTCAAACTTTAGTACTGAAAAATAAATTTAAAAAGACTATATATTTACACACACACTTCAGTAGCTATGTGTTTTCACATATTAGAACTGACCCATCCTCCTTCAAAGTATTAACAATGGCCACCCTCAGAGGAGAGGGTAAGATTGGGGAAGCAGGGGTTACCGTCATGAAAAAACTCCCATCTTCTCCAGACTCCTATATTTGTTTGTTTATTTATTTTGGAAGAAGGGATTGAATTCAGGGCCACTCGTCCCCTGGGCCACATCCCCAGGCCTGTTTTGTATTTTATTTAGAGACAGGGTCTCACTGAGTTGCTCAGCACCTCCCTTTGCTGAGGCTGGCTTTGAACTCGTGATCCTCCTGCCTCAGCCTCCCCCCGCCCCAGCTACTGGGAATGGCAGGCGTATGCCACAGCAACCAGCTTGTTTAATTTTAATAAGTAGATATGTATTATATTCATATATTTTTTTCAAAGTTTCTCTTTTYTAATGTTTATTCTTAAGGTCGCACTGGCCCTCTGGCCCAAGCTAGAATTTCATGCATGTGTGGTTCAGTGAACAAAGATACCCCTGACCTAAGACACACTCAGGACCATGAAAATGACATCGCATTCATGAAAGTCACCAGGGCAGTGCTGAACCTTGTGGTGGGTTCTGGGCCGTGGAGTGTCCTCAGGGCTTCCGTCTGTCTGTATTATGTCATTTATCCCTCACCGCCAGGTTGTCACTGGGGTCCTTCTTCCACCCCCATAGATCACAGGTGGGAAGCAGGCGGCTTAAGTTGCCCAGGGTCACGTGATGAGTGCTGGGGTTTGAATCCACATCAGGAAACCCCRTCTCCACGGCAGCCTGCGGGTCTACACTGATGGAGCTTCCAGAAAGAAGACCCCCCAGGGAAGACTCAGAAAATGTCACCTTTCCACCCTCAGTGCCACCTTAGATGGGGCAGTTAGCAGGAGCCAGGGCATCCATCACAGCTCCCTGGTTTTCAGTGGTCCTGGGGCCGTGCAGTCACCCAGCGGCCTCTAGGGGGCAGCTGTGAGGGGCGTGTCTGTAGGGACGTGGGGCGAGCTGTAGGAGGGGACCCCTCACTTACTTTCTTGGGAAATCTACAAAGATGGTCACAGCCAAGATCATGATGAAGTCGAAGATCATCAGCTTGTACATTTCCTGCCCAACTTGGGTCTCCCAGCACTGAAACCAGAGAGCAAGAGACACTGAGCGGCCCTGTTTGGGGCAGAGGGAGGCAGGCCACCAGACCCCTGCCCCTCGAGATCCTGCTGCCCACGGGCTCCAGCACAAACCTGGGTGACCAAGCCCCTGAACGTGTGGGGCAAGGCGCAGACCTGCCTTGAGACTAGAGTTAGAGGGAGGAGCAGCCTCGAGTTCAGCTTTGCCGGCTGCACCCTTGACCATGACGCTATGGCCAAGTGACACCCACGCCCGGCAGGTTGCTGCCACCCCCAGGGCTCACCGGGTAGAGCTTCTGGTTGTAGCCACAGAGTTCACACAGGGTGTCGTTATCACAGGACGTGATCTTGGAGCCCAGAGTGAACACCAGCACACAGATGGTGGCCAGTCGCATGAAGACACACCTTCAYGGAGGAGGAGAGAAAAAGGGACAAGGAGGAACTCAGATCGGGCAGGCTGAGAGGACCTGGGGTTACAGAAGGCAGAGGCCACCTTTTATTTATGTATTTATTTTTTGGTACCAGGGATTAAACCAGAGGCRCTTTACCACTGAGCTACATCCCCAGCTCTTTTTATTTTTATTTCGAGACAGGGTCTTGCTAGTTTGTTGAGGCTGCCTTCAAACTTGCAATCCTCCTGCCTCAGCCTCCCAAGTTGTTGGGATTACAGACAATGTGCCACCAGGCCCGGCCACAGGCCACCTGCACATGGACACAGAGGTTCTGTTGAAGGTGATGAAAAAGTTCTGGAAATGAATAGTGATGATGGGAATGGACTTAAAGTCATTGAAGTGTGCACATTAAAACGGCAACTTTGATACCATCGATCATCTACTACCTTTTTTTAAAAGGCAAAAAATTAAAAAGGAGACAGCTGGGAACTCGTGATCTCTGGTGAGGCCGTCACACAACAGAACACTACACATTCCTGAAAAGGAGGAATTGAATCTTTCTGTCCGGGCTCTGGGGGACATCCCATAGAGGGAAGTGGAAAAAAGCTAACTATAGAGTGTCACGTGGACAGGATCCTATTTTTCAAAGTTAAAAATAAATGTTGGTACAAACTGCAGGAACCATAGGAATGAATGCACAAGGACATGGGCCGTCCCCATGGGTTCCTGGAAGAGTTGGATTCGTGGGAGGCGAGAGGAGAATCATTCTCTCTCTCTCTCTCTCTCTCTCTCTCTCTCTCATGCTTTTCTACTATTTGGTTTGTAATTAAATTAAATTAAATAGAAATATTCAAGTGGGGGAGGGGGTAAAAGGCATCCCCACCCCTCGCTGGCTCACCTCCCTCATTCCTAAGTAGGTCCCACCCCTGACCTGTGCCTGCAGGTGACTTGCATCAGGTGGGAACACCTGGCACCTGGACTTTCCTAACACCAACCTGCAATGGGACCCTGGTGGCACCTGGCTGCGCAGCAGTTCATAGCCACTCTGGGCACAGAARGCCACGCGGAGCTCACCATGACCAGGCGACAAACAAAACTCAGACGTCAGGGGCATTCCACAGCGCAGATGACCCCCGCCCCTATCCTCCCAAGGTCGAGGGCGGAGCCGTGAGAAGGAACCACGTGAGAAGGAACCACGCGCAGGCGCAGAGCCCATGTGAACAGGCACCTGCAGCTCCATGGGGGCGGGGGACGGGGGACGGCTCAATTGCAAGAGGTGCGACAATGCCCATGTTAAAACCAGTCCCMGTCACCCGGAGGGCTGCTGAGGTGTTCACAGCGGAGGGGACAGGACATGTCGTCTGAGATTTGCTTAAAATAATTGAGCAAAAGTGAGGCAAATGGATGAAGCAAGATGGGCAAAAGGTGGGAATGGCTGGAGCTGACTGACGGGCAGAGGAGCGCTCATGATACCATTTATTCTGTTTGAAAATGTCCAAAATATAGTTTTTTGAGATTGAAAATGCAATTTCAGAGATTTTGAGGAGAAAGAAAATTCTCCCATTTCACACATTTCCCCCACCACCACCAATATTTGAGTGACCTCCAAGGACTCTGCCTTATGTAAACTGTCAATTCTGAGATATTCTCAGCAGTGACCCCTCCTAGGGTCCCATCCTGTCAACACATGGACCGAAAGTACAATACTGATAGGTAGACTCTGAAGTCAAAGAGGTTTCACTGCATGGACAAATTCATTCCTTCATGAAGATTAAGGAGGACCCAGCTCAGCAGGAACATGTACCACCACCGATTGGCATCGTCTGCCACGGCAAGTCGGTGGCCTGCCCAGCTTGCCCACAACCAGCATTACCTCAGAATGGTCAGCCGGATCTCAAAGCCTGGGGAGTAGTCCTCGTAGTGGATGATCTTGGCGAAGATGATGGGGGTGATAAAATTGGCCAGCGTGATCACAATGGATGGTAGGTACAATATCAAGAGGTTCTCTCCAAAAACCATCTTGTCGATTTCCTAGAAAGAGGATCAAGCCTACTGGTCAGTAAATATGATAAAAGACATGGCAACATGGTCAATTGAAAAAACTCAACTATGTCTACTGGGCACACAAACAGAAGAGACCTGCCCTTCAACACGGCCTGTAAACACAAGCCATCTCCTTCCTTTGGTGTTCAGATGCCTAGTGCCAGGCCAGAAGAAAAACGAGCGCTATTGGACGTGCTAAGGAAAAGTACTTTTTAAAAATATCCATGTATTCTGTATGAATGGACAATTTAAAATATTTTCAAGGATGTGGTACTGATTGGAACTGTAACAGGCGCTTTCTCCTTCTTCCCTAGTAACAGTTCCTTGGCCACCTGTGCAGGTGCAGCTGTCCAGGACAAAGATTAAATTGCAGCAGGATCCAGTGGTGCACGCCTGCCATCCCAGAGACTCCAGAGGCTGAGGCAGGAGGATCGCAAGTTTGAAATCATCCTCAAAATAAAGAATTTTAAAAAGGGCTGGGGATGTGGCTCAGTGGGAAAGCACCCCTGGGTTCAATCTCCAGTATCAAACAAACAAAAAACCACCTCAATGGCTTAGGCGTCCTCGAAGCTAGGTGCAGCCGCGTGATTAAACTCTGGCCAAGGAAGAGGAGTGGAAATTTTAAGTCCAATTCCAGGTAGTGACCCTGAAGGTGCACTCTCCCCAGCTCCTTGTCTCTCTTCCCTCTGGCTAGACTGTGGATGTGGTGGGGCGCTATCTGAACATGCAGAGGAGGACCACACTCTCTGGATGGCAGAGCCACCAGGTGGATGGCCCTGGGCCCTGATGATTGAGTTCACAAAGCAGAGCTGCTAGACCAACTTGGATTGTGTGTGTGTGTGTGTGTGTGTGTGTGTGAGAGAGAGAGAGAGATTGTGTGTGTTACTAAAGGGACAGAATCCAGAAGCGTTCTGCCTCTTAGCCACACCCCCAGACTTCTAAATTTTATTTTATTTTGAGACAAGGTCTTGCTATGTTGTCCAAACTGACCTCAAACTTGAGATCCTCCTGCCTCAGCTTCCCTAGTAGGTGCCATTATAGATTCATGCCACTGTGCTCAGCTCAACTGGATTTTTAAAACCGAGGCTCCGGCTAGTGAGTAGAAGAGGGATCTAATGCAAGCAGTTCAGCCTGAATTCGAATATCGTGAATTTCTGGAAGAATGGGGTATCTCGAAAACAACTTTAGATGCTTTCTAAAATTTCTCTTAAAAGTGGACACTGATCACCTCGGATTTTCAGTTCTCGATCAGTCAAACTTSAATCTCTGTGTGTATGCAGAAATGACGTGGGCATCGACCACTCAGGTTTGCACGTCACATAATGCCCCACACCAGGGCCCCCAGAGTGCACATTAAATCGACTCTCGTGGAAGGGGGGCTTACCTTCTTCATGTGTTCTTGGGAGAAGATAGTTGCTATGTAGATGGCATAGAAGCATGCTGCTAAAACAGCCAGAACAATACAGTTCAAAAACAGTCTCAAAGAGTAAATGCGTATCGTTTCTTCTGAGGTCCTTTCTGCTATTTTCTGCCGTATTCTTTCTTCCTCTAGATCTGCCTGAGGACCAGAGAAAGCTCATTTGTGAGCACGGGGACACAGAGATATTAGAGAACGGATACGGTGATACCCTCCCCATCCACTGACAACTTCTTCCTTTAAATATTCACAGCCCCAAAGACACCTTCCCAGACTAAGCCCAACTAGATTTTATGTCTATTAATGGCCTATATTCAAGGTAGAGGCCTTTTATGTAAGAYGGAAATTAGGCTTCACAATAAATATGTAAACTAAACCATTAATTTATTAATGACATTACTCACACATTTCTTTAAACAGCACATAGGTGGATGCTGTTTTTTAGGTCCAGCTGGTAGTCTCTGATTTCAATAGGAAAATTTGATGTGTTCATATTTAGTGTAAGAAATAATACATTTGATTTGATTCCTGCCTCCCTTACCTTACTGAGCTTTTGGTTTTGGCTCCATTTTTGGGGTGGATTTTACCAAAATATTCTTCATCACTCCTTTTCTCCTTCTTAATTTGGAAATTCTCTTGTACTTTCTCGTAATCTCTCCACTCTACCCTATCATTATAGCTTTCCCTCCTTCGTCCCATTTCTTGGCACAAGTAACATTGATGACAGGCTTTCATCAAGTGGGGAAATAACAGTGTCAGATACTAGGGAAGAAACCCACTGATCCCTGCCTCCCTTCCTTGGCCCCATTCACCAGAACCCATGTGGGTTCAAGATAATTAACCCTGATGAGCCGTTTGCTGCCAAGAGCCTTGGTCATGACAGACAGGAAGCAGGCTAAGCACCTGAGACAGGTAGGCCCCGTCTGCATCCTCTAAAAGCTGCAAACAGCCTCCTAAGGCCTGACCTGGCTGATGAGGACCCCCCGGGGAAACCCAGCAGCACTCACTCGGAGCTCGTACCGCAAGCTGCTGTGCTTCAGGTCCGCCATGCTGCGGTTGGTGATGCAGAAGTCCCAGCCGGCAAAGATCTTGTTGCAGTAACTCTGGAAGTGCTCCTCACTCCGGATCAGGTTGATTTTGAACCCTTCCACCGACCTGACCCCCAAACACAAACATCCTCCTTACAACAGCTGCCGCAAAATACAGGCCCATGAATAAAGCGCTTCATCCAAAATGAGAAATAAGAAGTTAGACACGGCTGTCCTGGGGGCCCATCTTGATAAGGTCAAATTCTGGACCATTCTAAATGTACGTCACAGCTGACCACATACACCACTGTTGAAAATAGTCTTCTTTTATACATCTAGTAAATTCTATCATTTAGTAGCTTTTATACATCTACTTCGAGTAAAGTTAAACTTTTTTCTTTTTTTCTATTGTGGTGCTGGGGCTTGAACCCAGGGCCTTGTGCATTCGAGGCAAGCACTCTACCAACTGAGCTACGTCCCCAGCCCCCAAAGTCCAACTTTCTGCTACGGCCTATAGCTGTGACGTGATCTAGTTCTACAATCTCTCCCATCATGGCCACTCTGTTATAAAACCGCCATGGTTTTTCTTTTCCTTTCCATAAACACATGAATCCCTCTCCTCCTCTTGCCTCGGGGGCTTGGCTCTTAGAAGTTCCCAGAACTCTCTCCAGGGCTCTTCCCAACTCTTCCCATGGCTGACTCCTTCCTATCAGCCATGATTTGGATCCAGAGTGTCCYTGGGAAGCTCATGTGCTGCTTGGTCCCAAGTCCCTGGAGCTACTGGGAGGTGGAACCTGGAAGAGGTGGAGCCCAGTGGAAGGAGGTGAGGTCACTCTCCACCACGTGCTCCCACCGTGATGTCCCGTACTGCCACAGACTCCAAGTAACAGGGCCGTACAACCATGGACCAACGCCTCTGAAAACCACGAGCCAAAACAAACCTTTCCTCCTTTGCAGTTACCTATCTCAGGTATTTTTTTTTTATTTCACAGTAAGGGAAAACTGACTAACGCATCATCCTTCAGATTTCAGTTCAAATGTCCTGTGATTCCTAATCTCCCCATCTAAAATTGCGATCCCCACATCACAGCAATGAACCTAATCTGCAATTTGCCTATTTATCTGTTTATGGTTTACAGTCCGTTACTCAGTGTAAGTTTTAAATTCCCTGAAGGCAGGTGTCCTGGCTTTATATCCACCGCGCCAGGACCATACTTTAGCTAGCTGATCGATAGATGAGTGAATGAATGATTTAAATAGTCAATAAGGCAAATATTTAATGAGCACCTGATGAAACCAGAGGCAAGTTCTGTTGGACATTTCATAATTGTTATTCAATCAAATGCTTTCAGGGGAAAAAATACACCTTGGCACTTGATGATATAAAAACACCAAATAGCACACACCTTCCTCGCAGATGAAACACCTGTCATTTAGGATTTCTTAGGGAGGCATAAAGAGCAACAGAAATGGAAGGGATGACCATGGTGGGTCATTCTGCCAAAGAATCACAGCAAAGAATTTGCATCAGAACCACTTGAGGTGCTTTCCCCAAAATGTACGTTCCTAAATGATTTCATACCCTGAGATTTGCTAATTAAGTAAGTCTCATGTCGGCTCCAGAAATACACCTCTATTGGGTTGGGACCATTATACCTTGTGGGCCAGTTGTTGAACTGAATAACTAAAGGAATTGATATTCCTATCCTTTCTTGGGAATTGCTCTCATTAAGCCACTTGGAAAATGCCATGCTGTCCTACAGTTCCAGTCCCCCTGGCCACAGTGGACAGGACAGGAGCCGGGGCACTTGAATCAATGGTGGCCCATCACAGACAGTCTGATTACAAATGGCCACCGATGGAGGGTTACAATTAGGCACCCAAATGAAAAAGAGTCTCTTCAAAGAATTTCTACACCTGTGACCTAGGGCGTCGGAGGTCAGTGGTCTCTCGTGCCACTTAAGCAAGCTGCCACCACACAAGAGACCCAAAGATGAGGGAGCCTTTGTTTTTGTTACTGTTCCTAAGCAATAGCTATGTCTTTGTCCTTCCTGTAAATGAGTTTCTTGCCTTCCTTGGTTCCCAAGATGCCACTCAATTCCCCTCTGTCCCAGTGAGCCAGAGTTGGGTTTCCGCCATTTGCAATCCCATGGACGTGGAATTGCCAGATGTGCCCAGTCACAACTGACTGAAGAACTGCAGGCAGCTCCTCAGGCTCCCCAGTCCTGACTTCCTTTTCCTCCAGGGCTTCCCGACAAAGCCCAACCCAGACTCTGCTCATCTTTTGGGCAACAGAGTCCACAGAGTCCTAAGAGACTCCAGCCACCAACAGTAATTCTTTTTTTTTTTTTTTTTTTTTTTTTAAGGCAGTGACAGAGTAAACTTACCTTTTCACGATCCAAAGGAGGCTCAGGGCCAGGTAGGCGATTGTGCTTATCAAGTAAGCCAAGGGCAGATCGTAGGTGAAGTTCTGGAACTTTATACCATGGATGGTGTAATGTCCATAAAAGAGGCTGGTCTCCTCCAAGAAACCCTGAAATCAATTCAAGGACATGAAGTTGGCCTGGTGAGCTCAGGGCAGGCAACCAGAAGAGGAGTCTCTGACTCAAGGAACTCACATTCCATGTCTTTGTTCATGTCTATATCCCTAGACATCGGAAGAGCCCCCAGGAGACTAAGGGACACTCAGTTAGTGTCTGGGGAAGAAGGCAAAACCCAAGCATAAAAATATGGGGTGAGTTATTCAAATCAAATTAAGAAAATAGTCCCATGTGCCACAGAACCAAAAAGAAAAAGAAATTAACATAAGTGCAAATCTTATACTCTGAATACTATAAATCATTGTTGGGGGGAAAATCAAAGTAAACAGGAAAACATCCCATGTTCATGGATCAGGAGATCCATGATAATACTCTATAAAAGGATCTACAGATACAACACAAACCCTGTGGAATCCCAGCTGGCTTCTCTGTAGAAATTGGCAAGCTGATCTTACAGTTTACAGGAAGCTGCAAGAGACGCAGAACAATCTTGGGAAAGAAAGAACAAACCTGGAGGACTCATGTGTTCCCACTTCCAAACTTATTACAGAGCAACAGTGACCACGACGGTGCAGCACTGGCAATAAGAATAGACACGTTCATCGACAGCCCAGACCCGGAGTTCAGAAATGAACCGATATATCTACAGCCAGTTGATTTTTTTTTTTTTTGATAAGGGGAAACAGCAGTCTTTTCAATGAATCACACTGAGACCATGAGCTAGTCACATGCAAAAGAATGAAGTTGGACCTCGACCTCACATTGCATATGAAGATTAGCTTAAAATGGACCAAAGGAAAGAGCCCAAGCCATGAAGTGTTTAGAAGACAACAGAGAACTGAATCTTCATAACCCTGAACAAACGATAGCAAATGCGATATGACTCAGTCTTGGGAAGGCAGGAAATCCTACATGCTACAACTCACACAAAACTTAAGGACATTATACTAAGTGAGAAAATCCAGTCACAAAAAGACAAGGACTGCAGGATTCCTGCTCATATGAAGTCTCTAGAGTAGTCAAATTCACAGACTCACAAAGTATAATGGTAGATCCCAGGGACTTTCGGGGAGGGCGAAGGGGCAATTGTTTAACGAATATAGAATTTCAGATTTGCAAGATGAGAAAGTTGGTAGAGATCTATTGTGCAACAATGTGGATAACTTTGACACTTCTGCATTTACACTTAAAAGTGGTTAAAGATGGTGAGTTTTCTGCTATGTGTTTACCACGATAAAAATTAAAATCCTCGTGCCTTAGATTTAGCAATGAATGTTTAAGGACACCCAAAGCACAAGCAATAAAAGGAAAAAAAAAMCATAAATTTTAAAAATTCACCAGCAAAATTAAAAACACTTATGCTTCAAGAGTTGTACCTAGCATATCTAAAGAACTCATAACTTGGGGCTGGAGTTGTGGCTCAGCGGTAGAGCGCTTGCCTCACATGTGTGAGGCGCTGGATTTGATCCTCAGCACCACATAAAAACAAACAAAATAAAGGTACTGTGTTCATCTACAACTAAGAAAAAATACACTTTGAACATTGTTTAAAAAAAATCCATAACTCAACAATCAAAAGACAGATAATCCAATTTTAAAATAAGCAAAGAATCCAAATAGATGCTTGTCAAAAAAAAAAAAAAGATGCAGAAATGGCCACTGAGCTCATGGAAGGATGCTCAGTGTTATTAGTCATGAGGGAAATGCAAATAAAATCCACAAAGAGATACCACTTCACACAATCTAAGATGGCTAGGATGAGAAGGTCAGATAAAGACAAGTGTTGATAAGGATATGGAGAAACTGGAATGCTCATGCGCTGCTGGGAAGAATGCAAGGTWGAGTAGGTAGCTGGGAGGAGGGGCAGTTTCTCAAAATGCTAAACCCTCCTTGAGTATCTACCCAAGAGGAATGAAGGCATATGTCCACACGATGGCAGCACTGTGCATAGCAGATCAAAGATGGAAACAACTCCAACATCCATCCTGAGCAGATGCACACCATGCAGACTTCCTCCACAGACACATCCTCCAACAGGATATTGCACCAGGAAAAGGAACAAGGTACTGACCTCTGCAGCCTGCATGAACCTTGAAAATGTGACAGCAAGTGAAAGAAGCCATTCACAGAAGGCCACATAGTATATGATTCCATCTGTTTATTTTTTGTTCTGTGTAATTTTTTTTTTTCTTTTCAGTTCTGGAGATTGAACCCAGAACTCTGTGAATGCTAGGCAAACCCTCTACCACTGAGCAGATTCCAAAATCGGCATTTTTGAGACAGAAATATATTAACAACTACCCAGGGCTGATTTGAAGTCTGGGAGGTGTAAGCTTTCTTTTGAGGTAATGAAAAGGTTCTAAAATTGGCTGTGGTGATCACAGTATGCCTCTGAACATACCGAAAACCATTCAACTGTATGTTTGAAGTGACTGAATTATAGGGGCAAGTGAATGTTATCTCAATGCAACTTAAGAAAATAAAAAAACAGGCTTGGGGGGTACAGCTCAGTGGTAGAGGCCTTGCTTAGTACGCAAAGTCCTGCAACAACAAAAAATAAAACAAGGATTTATTTTCCAACCCCAAAGGTATCCTTTGCAAAAAAGAAAAAAAAACACAGAAAATTCTTCTTATGGTGTGATGGAAGGAATACCTCAGATACCTCCGTGGGTGGCAGGGAGATGCCAGGAAAAGGAAGAGACCACACACAAGGAAAGTAGAAACAGGGCAGGCAGTAGAGGGATGTTCCCCATGGCGTTGTTTACCAAGGAGGAAAACAGAGGMGACCTGATGTCCATCAACAGGGGACCTGAAAAATCCATACCACAAGACAGCAAGCAAGACCATGAAGTGGGGTGTGCYCAGCAGTGCACAGCAGGTAATCCCAGCAGCTCCGGAGGCTGAGGCAGGAGGATTGTAAGTTCAAAGCCAGCCTTAGCAAGAGTGAAGCACTAAGCAACTCAGCAAGACCCTGTCTCTAAACAAAATACAAAACAGGACTGGGGATGTGGCTCAGTGGTTAAGTGCCCCTGGTTAAATCCCTGGTACCAAAAAAAGAAAAGACCCTGAAGTGTATAAAGATCAGGGAGAGGGCAAACCCTGGTGTGGAAAGTCTGCTGCCCTCTGGTGGTGGGGGGAGGCACTCTGTATACATTCTTTTTCACAACAACTATGCAACAGTGTCACATTATCTAAGTAATTAAGTAAATCTTCTAATAGAAACAAAAGTGCACATTCTCTTCTCCTCTCCAAAGCCTTGGCACACAGACCATAAAAAAACTTACCCAACTACATGAAACCTACAAGGGCAAAAGTCCCCAGGGCCTGGAAATAAGATTTATTTCATCTAGAGCCAAGGGATTGGCCTGGGATCGATAAACATTTAAGGGATTTCCAGGGATCTGTGTATGTCCACATGTGTGCACCGTGTGTGTGTGTGTGTGTGTGTGTGTGTGCCTGTGACAGGCAGGTGGCCACGTGTGCTCTGAGTCTGCAAATCACACGTCTCCTTGTGGGGCTTCTGGGTACAGGAGCCTCAGCCTCAGCCACGCCCTGAACTTTCCAAGGTCAGAGGAATCAATCGACTCTCTCCAGCTCCGTTCTCTCTGAACCTTCTTTCTGTGGGCAAACTCAGCCTCTTGTTGTAGGTCAATATGAAGGTGTCAGGGACAGGGGGAAAAGGACACGTGGGTTCTAGCAGGTCACCACGCATCCTGCTTCTTCCACCGGGTGAGGCGTCCACACGGGTGTTTGGCTCTCACCGTGGACATGCAGGAAACCGAGCTTTGCGTCAACCCCCTTCTAGCACTTGGAAGGGTCCAAAAAAAGGTTGGGTTAAATACTCACAGTGCCGGAAAGCAAGTCTATGATGTAACTGTAAAAGTAGATAAGTCCAGAACTACTTATGGGGTATATGGTACACTGAATATCTGCAAGACACAAAAGCAGGAAGGTCGGTTGGSGACAGTCTGCAGTCTCTGGGACTCCCTCCTCTGTGGCAATTTGTGTGCATCAGCACGTAACTGTGCACATTTAGACGCGTCTCGGAGATTTGCCTATCTGTGCATGCATGTGTGCATACCTTTCTGATTTTCTATTTCCAAACCCAAAGCATCTAAATACGATAACATTTATTTTTATCTCTCTCCTGCTTCTCTTTCTAGCAGTTCCTTCACTATTCTTCCTGAATTTGGGGCCATGTGTCTTTTCTGTGCATTTTGTACTGAGTTCACATTCAGAACACTTTCTGCTTGTGTGTCTCGTGCTTCCGTGTTCATGTTTGTACATGCTTTGAGATTGTCAATATGTGATTGACAGAACTGTTATCCCATTTTAAGCACATCTGATATATTAGATCTTTTACATCTGTATCATCCCTTCAGTTTCATTAAAAATTGATATATTTACATATCTATAATTATTCAACAGAATCTTAGCACCGGTTTTAGTGATACTACCGTATGCTCGGACCATTCCCTCACTCCCCTGATGCATGCGTCAGCTACCACTGCATAACAAATGATCTCGTAGTCTCAGTGACCAAAAAAGTCAAAAGTTTGTTGTCTCACTTGTGGGCTTGCAGCTGCAGTTCATTTAGCTGATTTAGGCTGAGCGTTTGTTGGGCTCAGATCTATTCCTCAGAACCTCACTCTGGGGCCTGGGCTGAAGAGGCAAGGTGTACCGGGGGCATGCTCTTCTCATAGTATGTCACAGGGACACAACAAGAGGGCATTTCAAGTCAGCACTTTGCTAGACAAAATGAGTCATGCAGCAAGGGTCAATAACCATGAGACAAGGAGAATTCACTACCCACAGTGGGAGTCACCCTAAAGTCACACTTACAGGAAAGTGACAAATTCAGGAAAAGAACTCAATCTACCACTTCTTTTGGATGGCTTTGGTTTCCCCTTTGTTAAAATAAAGGCATTACCGGGTGCAGTGGCACACGCCTGCAATCCCAGTGGCTGGGGAGGCTGAGGCAGGAGGAGCAGAGATTCAAAGTCAGCCTCAGCAACAGCGAGGCCCTAAACAACTCAGTGAAACCCTGTCTCTAAATAAAATATTTAAAAAGGGACCTGGGGATGTGGCTCAGTGGTTAAGACCCCTGGGGGGTTTAATCCTCAGAACCAATAAATAAATCAAATCAAGATGTTGAATCAGTTCCCCCAAAACCAATCCCAGCTCTACCATCTTATAATTCTAACATGAGTGTGTTTGTGTATTCATTCAACAAACATTTCTTCACCACTGTGCCCTAGGTAGATGTTGGAGATAAAAAACATAACTAAGAGGTGTTTCCTGCCCTTGGAAAGCTCACCACCAATGGCAGAGAAAGACCAGCAGCAGTTGGGTGTAGATAAGGTGCTCAAAAGGCTGCATGAGCCCAGGCAGGTAGACAGAGGAGACGCCATCTCTCTCTTCTGACTCAGGCCTGCTGCTCCTTCCTCACTATCCTCCAGCCTAGAGTCCATGGCCAAGTGCAGCCCGCTGCCCTCGGTYGGTCGGTTGTTAATAAGGTATTACAGGAACCTGGCCACGCCCACACATTACCTATACCTAAGGCTCCAGGGCAGGGTTCAACAGACAGTCAGCTTATAAAACAAAAGARAAAGAAAATCCAGACACAGATGACGTCTAAGCTGCTTCCCAGCCAGCCCTGCCCTGTGCAGGATTGCCAGCYGGCACGCCAGGCTTCCAGCCCCTCTGAGACACCGGCTTATTTCCCGTCTCTGAGCCTTGGCAGAACCCATTCCTCTGCCTGAGGTTCTCCCTGTCCTTCAATAGCTGCCTCCTCCTCACCCCATCCCCCGGGGATCTGCTTAGAGGCTCTGCCTTCAGAGAGGGATCTGGGGATCCTTCAGCCTCCAGTGACCCGGTGTTCAACCTAGCAGCACCCTACTCTTTGCCCCTGTCAGGGCCAAATTCATGTTACATGGTTCATCGTGTGCTGTAATTTCACAAAACCCATCTACTGCCAGAGCACAAGATGCTGTGGATGAAGACAGGAACTGTCTGCTGAAGTCCCTGTGGCCGGCTCTCATCCAGCACATGCCGGTCGGTGCTCCATGAATATTTGTTCAAGGAAGGAAGACCCTGAGCATCACCCTTAACAGAGATTAAAACCTCAAAGTCCTGGAAGAGGGCGTTACATTATGTTTGCTAAACATTTCCACTTCCCCACCCTGCACTGCTCCTCCCAAATGCCCTGATGTATTCTGGAGTGGCTGAGTAGCCTGCTTTGTCCAATGAGATATGGCAGAAAAATGGCCACGAGGCATCTCCAAGCAGAAGCATCAGGAGCCAGTACTTTCCCCCTGAGCCACAGTGACTATGGCCAGGTAGAGGCAGCCCCATCAGCTTGGGCTCCAGAGTATAGACCACCAACCCATGATAGAGAAGGACTGTGAGTGAGAAATAAACCTTTGGAGTTATTTAGGCACTGAGGGTTATGGGGTCATTTGTTTCTGCAGCACAGTCTCACTCATCCTGACTAATACAGTCACCTAAGACTCAGAATGAAGATTCCTCATATAGGAAGCTCTGTAGCGAGTTAGTGAAAAGAACATGCATCATAGTAACCCAGGCCTCAAACTCACCCATATCTTTRAACGGAATGAGCACAAAGGTGCTGTTGGTGATTTTGTATTTGGTCAGCAAGATAGGGAGCAGGACCAGCATAAAGATGATCAGAAATATCACCAAATTCAGCAACACCAGGAACCGCAAAAAGGAAAAATAGGACTGAATTCCGGTGCCAAATTTCCCTGGGGAAAAAAAAAGAGAGAAGTTTGGACATCATTCATCAGGAATATTGACCTACTACACACAGGAGATTCAATCAGCCAGACAAAGCTGAAGATGGAGGAGTCTTGGCGGGGCGCAGAGGGAAAGAATGTCTTATTCTCTGGCTGCCTTTCAAGCTCTAATTTCCAGTGTTTGTGTTACTCACATACAGACCTACTCCCAACCTTGAACCAAACACTTAAGAACCCTGTAAAGATGGGGAAGAGCGCCCTGTCTTTTCCTATGTGAATATCTGGTTGACTCAACATCACCGACGGATGCCCCCACTTTTGGAAATCAGTTCACTATATATGCACGTACATTTTTCTGAACTCTGTCCTGTTCCACGGGTCTATCCTTACCTCAAATACCAGACTGTCTTAATTGTGGCACACTTACAGTAAGACTTCACGTGTGGAACGGGGCATCTTTGAGCTTGTTCTTCCTTATCACAGCCCTAGATCTGGATCCTTGACATTTTGCATTTCAATATAAATTTCAGATCAATGCTTTCTTTTCACCTGCTGGGATGATCATAGTCTCTCCCCTTTATTCATTTCCACACACACACTCACACTCACACTCCCACACACTGCTGAGATGACATGAAATACATAGGTCAGTTTGAAGAGAAGTGGTAATATGGAATTGTCTGCTCCATGAACATGGTATATAGGTTTTCTTTAATTTCTCTCAATAATATTTTATCGTTTTCTGCACATAATTATTATACACTTTTCTTTAGATATGTTTATAGATATGACTTTGGGTGCTATTATAAATTACATCACTAAAATTCATTTTCTAAATATTTTTGCTGGTATCTAGAAATACAATTTAATATAATTAACTGATTCAACTGATTTTATCTGATTTTATATACAAAGCATGCTAAATTAACAACCTTGCTAAATTCACAGGTCAAGGCTAATAAGTGTTAAGTCTAATAATTGCTTTCTTACTTTCTATATCCATACCATGTCATCTGCCAAAAAAGGATGGTGTTTTATTTCTTCTTTTCCAATTATTATCCCTTTGAACCCCATTGTGTTGGGCTGGGTAGGACATTGTGGATGACGCTGAGTAGAATCTGGGATCATGAGCACCTTTCCTTCATTTTCAATCTCAAGGGGGCAAATTTTTTGATATTTCATTAAATCTGGTATCTGCTGTCGAATTCCCATAGACTTTAAAAAACCAGATTACAAAAGGCCTCATGTCTTTCTCATTTGGTTAGAATGAGAAGTGAGGTGGGTGGATGGTTTTCCTGCCTCTGTTGGGATGAGCATGATTTTCTTCTTTCTTCTTGCGTYAATCACACTGACTGAGTCCCCTGCCAGGTAAACGGCTGAGCAGAGTGAGAAGCATCCGGAGTGAGCATGCTTGTTCTTGGTGGGGGCGAAGAACTTAACCTCYGGAGACTAAAGGTACATGACACACGCTCTGCCTCCCACGCCCAGCGACCTTGTCAGAGGAAATGAGTGACACCTTCGATCCCTCCCAAAGGAGCACCCAGCCAGCCAAGGAACGTCAGGAGAAGAAGAGCAACAGGAGAAAATCAAAGCCCCAGTTCCCAGGGAGAAGCCACCCTCTAGCACCCACGTCATTTCCTGACCGAGCTAACGCCAGGCTGTCTGAAGCCTGACTGCAGAGCCCAAAGCCCAGCCCTTTCTCAGCCAGGCTGAGCGAGTTGGCACAAGTACCTTGACTCCTCTAAGCCAAGCAAGTGATGCATACCTCTATGAAGGGTGACTGTGAGCACTGAGATCAGATGAGTAAACGTGTAACACCACACCTGGTTCATAAAGACGAACAAAGACTAGCTTCTATGATTGCCTTCCAAACAAACGATGCTTAAGTCTCAAAGAGAAAAAAGYACAGAGTGTGTGGTTAAAGTTTTAAGGGAACCTAGGAGGCCCCTTTATGGCTCGCACCTGTCATCCCAGCAACATGGGAGGCGGAGGCAGGAGGATCACAAGTTTGAGGCCAGCCTCAGCAACTTAATGAGGCCCCTAAGCAACTTAGTGACACTCTGTCTCAAAATCAAAAATAAAAAAGGGGCTAGGGATGTGTYTCAGTGGTAAAGCGACCCTGGGTTCCATCCCAGTACAAAAATCAATCAATCAATCAATGAAAGGTAATATATGACCAAAGGTAAAAGATCACCCATTGTTAGATTTTTTAATAGGAATAATGGAAGCGATCAATTCTTCCAGACTTATCCTGCCACGTTTCTTATGAACACCTTTACAAAGTTTCCGCCTTAGCAGTGTGAGCTGGTGCTTGTACATCCTTGTGGGTTTTGGTAGAAACTATGTAACCCTAAGAGGCCCCACCCCCCAACTTGCCCAAGTCACCCAGATACTGAATATTTCCGATTTCATATTTTGGCATAACTTCCCATTTTTGTGCACTGAATATTCCCATATTATCCCCCCCCCCTTCCAATTTTCCTATACTGGAACCCCAGCCCCTCAAGGTCATGGTGTTGGAGGTGGGTCCTCAGGAGGTGAATAAGGATGAGGTCATGAGGGCGGGGCCTCGTGATGGAATCAGTGCCCTTGTAAGGAGAGACACCAGGGGCCTCCTGCTGGTCCCTTCCAGGGTCTCCCAGCCTCTTAACACCCACAGAGTCAGATGGGCACTTAGCAAGGCTTGTCCAGCTTCTAGAACTCTAAGGAAAAACATTCCTCTTTCTTCTTTTGTCTTTCTTTTATTTGTATTCATTCATTCATTCACTCACTCACTCACTCACTCATTCATTCATTTAAGACAGGGTCTCACTAAGTTGCTGAGACTGGCCTCCAACTTCCTATCCTTCTGTCTCAGCCTCCAGTGCCACTGGAATTACAGGTGTGTGCCAAGGCGCCCGGCTGGAAATTTATATCTATGAAGCCCCCCTCCCTCTATGGTACCCTGTGACTGTAACCTGTGCCCTCCATTCTCCCCATCAGGGGGAAGCTGCGGTTCCTAGGGTTTCCATAGCCACCGCCTCTGAGCCCTGTCCCTCAATACTGCTTATAGATGAATAAAAATGCAGACACTCAGTTCGGTGACACCAAGCGACACATCTGGGCTGGAATGAGAGGAACATCCTGAGCATCTCCATTAGCACAGCAGATCCCCAGGCCCCTCCGGAGCAGGGGCCCCTGTGCTTCTCCCGGTGCCACTGGCCCTGCTAAGCCCAAGCGTGGCTTGCTGCTCTGTCGCAGGAGGAAAAGCTCCCTGTCCGCTGAGCCTGGGGAGAGGGAGGCCGGCCGCCCCCAGCCCCCAGCACCTCAGCGGGACCGACTGTGCGCAGCGCAGGTACCTTCTATGCTGCGGATGTCCTGACGCCACAGCTCCAGGTGGGTGGTCATCTCGCGCGCCTTCTCGAGGAACCGCTTCCAAGACTTGCTGCTGTACTGCTTCCACTGGTCCCACTCAGACAGGTACTTCATCTGGGTCTCCTGAATGTCCCTGCATTTAAAAAAAAAAATGACCATGACAATGACAGCAACGACAGCGTCAGACCTCGGCATCGGCACAGAAGAGGGCTCCAGCAGAAGGTCCTCATGATCAGCTGCTGGGCACAGACCCTATGGGAGACAGTTGGCKGTTCCTCCAAATGTTAAACATAGACTTATCATAGGACCCGGAATTCCACTTCTACCAACGATCCCAGAATAAATGAAAAGAGAGTTCTCACGTAAAACACTCACTCTGAATGTGCATAGTAGCATTATTCAGAGCCAAAAGATGCAAACAACCCAAATGTCCATGAATGGAAAAACAGATAAACAAAAAGTAGTCTGTCTCTATGTGGTGGAATATTACTCAGCCATGAAAAAAACGAAGTACTGATACCTAAGAGAACTTGAAATGACTCCAAACAAAAGGCCACTTGCTGTATGTTTCCATTTAYATGGAATGTTTAGAACTGGCAGATTTATGGACACAGAAAGCAGGTTCCCAGTTGCCCAGGATTGGGGAGAGGGGAAGAGGATATGGCTGTTTAAAAGGTACAGAGTTTCCCACTAGGTTGGAGAAACCATTTCTGGGGGTGGACAACCACGACAGCTGCACAACACTCTCAACACACTTAGCGTCACAGAATTAGGCACTGTCGGTGATTTCAATGGTCAGTGTTATGGGATGTGCACTTTACCACAATGACATCCACGTGACGGCTACTCTGCACCCAGTAAAGTGACTCTACAGAGCCACATCTGACCTGTTCCCCCACCTCAGTAGGTCAGGCTCCCTATCTTCCCACTCAGGACACCCCTTCTTTTCAAACCGCATCCTCCTCAGTGGTACAGAAGTTCAATGTCCATCTCCCCCGCTACACCGCAAGCTCTTTAAAGGTCAAGAATATGTGGGATTTGTGGTTGTGGCCTCTGTGCCTGGTACACAGTAGATTCCGTGACAATCCTGCTCGGGGCCTGCTTTGCTGGACACTCTATACCCAGCACCTAGCATGGCACCTGGCACTTAGTAGGTGCTCGTTAAGTATGTGTACCCTAATGAGCACAGAGTCCAGAGTCCTCGGATTAAAAGCATGCACTGCTCCTGATTCCACGGGAAGCAAACCGCTTTCCCATGAGTGTGGATGACATTCAGGTGCATAGACAGACAGACAGACAGGTCAGAGATATAGTCTAGTTTATGTCCCATCACTATGCACAGAATGAACGGCACCTCCTTACGGTGAGGATCCAGGTCCTCTCAGGCAGGCAGCCTCCAGGCCCCTCTGTCCTACCCCTGGTCTCTCCCTCGATTTCCTGACCCTGCCCTCGGGGTCTTGGTATGTCCTGCTGTTAAAACCAGTCTYGAAGTCAGTCCCTCCGTCAGTGTCCTTGTGAGTCAGGCACCAGCTGAGCCGCTACCAGCTGCTCAACCCGCCTGGCTGACAGTCCCTCGCCAGGGAGCCGTCCTGCGCACAGGAGGAGGCTTGGTGGCATTCCCACTCTCTTACTGCCTCGATGCCAGGAGCTCATCCCTCCGTGTGACAACTAAATCCATYGCCACACATTGTCAAATGCCCTCTGGGGCCCTGGGGACAGGATCAGAGGTTAATGACTCATGCACCACATCGAGCCTCAAGCGGTGACTGCCTTTCACAGTTTTAAATGGTTAAAAAAATTTTAAAAGATGTTAAAACATGAACATCGGGAAAGCACATGAAATGCACATGTCTGTGCCGGTAAATGCAGGGCTGCAGGGGCCCAGCCGCGCTGGTCGCTAGGAATTGTCTGCTGTCCTGCTGCAAAAGCAGAGCCCAGGGGTGTGACAGAGGCCACGTGGGGCCCCGCGGCTGCCACGTGATCTTAGCCTTTGCAGACAATGTCCAGCCGTCCCGAGGTCCCACAACCATGGCTCCCTGGGGGGATCTGCACGAGGAGCCCAAGGCCAAGGGGTGGAGGGGCAGGGGAAAGAGGGAAAGAGGGAAAGAGGGTGCCCAAGGCCGGCAGGGGAGAGGGGGGCGGGGAGGAGTGTGGGGAAGCATACTTGAACGGCACAACCAGTGACTGGCTTGTCCCCAAGCATGTGGCACCCGCCTCCACCCTCCCTTCAGCCTGTCCTCCTCCATCGGACAGGGGACTCCTGTCCAGGGRCGAGGCTCGAGCCTTCCTCAAACGAGCCTCCAGTGCCTGATGTGTGGTTGGGTTGATAAAGTGCCGACCCCTCCACTAGCAGTTCCGACTGGGGGCAATTTTCCCCACCCCAGGGCACATCAGGCCATATCTGGGGACACCCTTGACTGTCACAACCTCTGGGGGGAAGATGCTATTGGCATCAGCAGGCAGAGGCCAGGGATGCGGCTTCATCCGACAAGGCAGAGCCCACAAGTCACCTGTCCCCGCAGGTGGATGACCAACAGTGCAGAGGCTGAGAAACCCAGGCTGGGGGCAGGTCAGAGGGAACCAGGGGCCCGGACGGCACTGCTGGGTCATGCACAGGAGCTAGCAGCTCTGGGGTTATCATTTCTGCYGCCGCCAAGTTCTAGGGTTCGCTGTGAATCAGTCAGACCTGCCCTCAGGTTCTATCAGTGCCACTTCTAYAACCAGCTCGGGAATTTCTGGGCAGAAGGAAATGCAATTTCAACAGTGGCACACACCTGTCATCCTGTCATCCCAGCGGCTGGGGAGGCTGAGGCAGGAGGATCGCAAGTTCAAAGCCAGCCTCAGCAAAAGCGAGGCACTCAGCAACTCAGTGAGACCCTGTCTCTAAATAAAATACAAAATAGGGCTGGGGATGGGGCTCAGTGGATAAGTGCCCCTGAGTTCAATCTCAGGTTATTAAAAAAAAAAGGAAAGAAAAATAGAAAATGCGTTTCCTTCTTGGATGTGGAGAGGTTTGGCATTCAGCAGAGGTATTTTACAAGAATTCAAAATCCATCAGTCTGAAATAGTGGGAAATAAAGGATACTTGTAAAGTCTGGCTTTATTCCCATGTTTTTGAATGCATATGACAACCTACCCCCATATTCAAAATCAGAGACCTGGGGGTACGGCTCAGTGCAGAGCACTCGCCTAGCGTGCATGACCCTGGGTTCCATGCCCAACACCTAAATAAATAAAAAGAAAAGAAAAGAAAAAGAAAAGAAAAACCACCACAGGTTTGTAAAGCTACAATGGAAGGTGTGGCGCCATGCACTATGTCCGTGCTACTGCCCCGGGCGACCTCAGATCAAGCATTAGGCAGAAATACCACTTCAGCCACTGTGTCAGACCAATGGGAAAAATCAGGCTTTGAATTCTGCAGGAATGGCGGGGAGGGCAGACTACAAAGTCCTCCTCTCAGCCAGGCCTGGTGGCACAGGCTCGGAAACCCAGCTGTCAAGAGGCTGAGGCAGGAGGATCGCAAATTCAAGGCCAGGCTCAGCAACTTAAGGAGACCCTGTCTCAAAATCAAACAAGCTGGGGATGTGGCTCAGGAGTAGAGTATCCCTAAGTTCAATCCCCAGGACTGAGGAGGAGGAGGAGGAGGGGGAGGAGCAGGAGGAGCAGGAGGAGGGGGAAGGAGCATCAGGAGCAGGAGGAGAAGGAGGAAGAGGAGGAAGA